AACCAGATTACTTTACTTATTTATTAGTAACGTAGTAAAGTAAGTACGTCTTAGTAATGAAAGGTAGGTATGTAACAGGGTAAATACTCGTCCTTTTTAATTCATCATTCACCTCCTGTAGAAATGATACTCATCGTTGGTAATTATAATTGTTCTGAAATACTTAATTATTTAAATCAAGCTCGTGACTAATAACAAGAATTGAAAGTATACCTACCTATAGTGTCTTTTCAAAGTTTATTTTATTGTTTCCATGAATATTTATATTTTTTATTTAATATATCTCACACATCTCACACACGGCCGTCTGATTCCAAACTAGGCAGAGCCTGTACTGTGGTAACCAGACTGCTGATAAACATACTTATATATTTTTAAATACATACATACAATAGATTAATTACACCCCAACATAGAACAAATGACCGTGCTCATCACTCAATGTTTGTCCTGGGTGGGAATCAAACCCAGGTTTAGCAGTCGGGGTCACTAACCACTACACCAAACGGGCCCATATTATGTTGTGGGTAATAAACACAGAAATAAAAGAGCTAAGAATCATCCCACAACAGATGCCCTAAGTATATCGGTAAGTACATACAATTATTTGCCATGTATACAAACATACAATCAGTACTTAGGTACGAAGTCATAATCTGTGCGGGTTGTGCCTCATTACGAATTCGTATCATGTTTAGAACAGGATTACTGTTTGACTAGCACATAAGACTGTGATATCATTGAAGCCAGATTCTTATGGGTATAGAGCACACAACACATATCCGTAGGTACATTGTACCTATCTGCTTGAAACATCACTATTGTGTAGTACAGTTGTGGATAAGTAGACTTAGCTTACGTAAGAGAACAAATAAAATACAAAGGTATATATATACTTAATATTATTTCGTGTTCGTCTTACCGTACCATAAAACTTTAATGAACGGTAGGTATTATATCTGACTGAGCGGATGGCGTAGTGGTTTAAGCGGTCGCCACGCTGCTGACTACTACGCTGAGTGTTGTGGGTCCGATCCCCAAATGTGACGACACTTTGTGTGATCCACAAATTGTTGTTCTGAGTCTGGGTGTTTGTTTGCGTCTGTTACATGTAAGTTTGTAATTTATATATTCCTAATGCGGGGGTTGTCTTTACAAATCAATATTTATAAAGAGCTCAAATTTTGACACGATATACAAACCACTTCAAAGATTGTTTTTATCTATGATTCACTTCAGTTTTGTTCCGCGATCTCATCAGTGCCAGGGTACACCTAGTTATAAAAAAGACTGATTACTACCAGGCATTGAAAACCAAATAATTATCCCCCTTCTTAAGTCATACTTACTCAATCGAGATTTCCTCTAGTAACAAGTCGGAGATTTATTTTTATATACCTATCTCCGATCCTAATTAAATAGCGCAGTCTAAGAACAGCAAGCGTTCTTAGACTGGCCTATTTAATTACGAGCATTTTCATTTGAGTTTTTGCCTAATTAAATGTATTAAGTCCCAGGAAAGTTAACTGTGTTGTTTATACTCAACTTAAACTCTTAGACATGTGTTCTCTCTCGTATATAGATAAAAATACTATCAATTGTTTCCTTAAGCATACATCTGTGTGTATCATTAGAATTCTATTTCGTTAAGTTTTAGGTAAAATAACATTTATGTAATACGTTTCATTAAATCACACTTTAAATAACCTCTTTTTTCAAACGTCTCAGGGAATACATTCCTAAAAGGATCTCACCTCCAGTGCACATCTTTAAAGCAACGATTTGTGGTAATCATACACTTTGTAGATGGCACACAATTGAAAAATTACAGTGGTTTCAGCCAATCTGCTGGATTTAAAACAAGGCAGGAACTCGCAATCCATGTAACAAAAGATCTGGATTTTGAATTGTGACGTAACCTTCACTAGACACGGTGCTGTTTGTTGTTGAGGAATTTTCTGGAAGAACATTCTTTACGCTGACACTTACCGAGCTACCTGAATACCTGATGGTAAGGGACCAACGCAACTCAAGAGTCTCTAGCGTATTGCCGACATTTGATTCCTCCTCCTCTCTAGGAACAGGGAGAGGGGGGTTTAGCTCCGGTAACCTCAGTCATCATCACATCAACAGCCTTTAACTAGCTGGACATAGGCCTCTCTTTAGAAAATATGTTTGCGCCTACTATACCACGCTGGCCTAGTATAGTAAGCCAAAACCTCCTTTCTACGGAGAGGCCTACTCGTATATATCCCGCAGTGGACTATTAGAGGCTGTTGATGATGTTGTCCCTTACTATGGCAAGAATAATATGGGATACGTGGATAATATGGTAACTCGTCTGCTTATTGTCCATAGATGACAAAGAAATAAATGTTTGACAACTTGCTAAATATTCCAAATTTTGTGTTATAAAGTCTTCTTGCAATTACTTAGCAACTATGTGTACCTAATATTTACATTGAGTGGCTAAAAATGACTGACGGATAAATACCGTGCACTGACCGACTCGTCGCGGTAGCACATTCAAGTTTGTTGTTTAACAATGATTCATCATCATCATCAACAGGTTTAATTTGTCCACTGCTAGACACAGGTCTGTCTTTAGAAATGAGGCTTTGGACTACTCTACAACGCTGCCCAGACAGGTTGGTATAGTTGTTTGTTTCAAGTTGTCCTCTCTGCAGTGCTGTCTTGCGTAGTTTGCTCCCTTAGTCGTCTCTTACGACACCCACGGGATGAATAGGGGTGGTGTCGTTGTGACACTCTGTATTCTCAATCGGTCCACACATGGGTCACATGCATTATTATTACATAAGGCTGCAAGGGTTCTCGGTGGCTTCTATCCCAAGGTATCCCGGCTCCCCTGCAATAGACTCACCTGTGACGTAACACCGTGTGGTTTTAATTGGCTTGAGTCCGACATACTACTTAACCCTCGATTCTAATTCCGAGTGATCATTCCTAATGATAAAAAAAAGAAAAATCTGTAAATCTGCAGAATTTTGTGTTTGTCTGTTTTAATTCGAGCTAACTATATGCAGATATATATTGAATAGAAACATAAAACCAATACAGTGTTCAAACTCGTAATAGTATCAAGATACATATCATACAACAGTCGAATGTGGGGCAGCGTCCAATACAGACTGTATATCTCTTCTACAAATACTATACGTAATACGGACAAAGGGAAAACTGCGGACAGATTCCGTAAAGGTTTATTAACACAGAATAGTTAGGGTTGTCAAAAGGTTTCAGAACATGGCGTATTTTTAGTGTAATTATTTTATTTGTTTTAATCCTGACCTGATGTTTCCTGTGTTAATAAGTAAAGAAAGAAATGAAATAATATATTATAATTACATACAATATAATTAGTTTTATTTAAAGATTTAACTAACAAGATTTATAAAATATTTAGATATCTTTATTTAAGTTCTAGGATTATAAGACAAATTTGTTTTTAAATATTTTGCAAATGTGTCTTATCGTGCTAGAAATAAAGCCTTAATAGAAAATAACATATACTTTTATTAAACTTTTGATTTTTTAGGATAATGAATCTCATAGACATCACATGGTGAAATAATATTTTATATTTGTATTTCATTCATTCAAGTATGAGCTTTTTAATAGAAATAGGTATTAAAAGTACTTCAGTAATAACAGTAAAAATTAAATTCTTATTAATTGTTTAGTTTACTCTTTAGTTCAAACAGTAAAGGCGAGATAATTTTAATTTTTTGATGGTGTCCAATAATTTTTTATTGCGACAACCCTGTTGGTATCTCCGGGTCGCACGTCACAGCGGATCGATAGAACGATGTCGAGCGAATTACGTTCACCGCGCCACTCTTCTATTAACAGACCCCAAAATCTAACTTCCATTTTTATAGATACAGAGTATAAATAACTACCATAGTATGTAAGTTATAATAAGTGTGTTAAATTTGAGACTGTGTAAGACCTATTTCTTAGCGTTCCAAGGATGCACCGTGCGGGTGCCGGGTACAAAATGTCTTATTGTGTAATACAGTTTTAAATAAAAACTACATTTAGGTAATTTACCCGTTAATTACTAATGGTAAAAAAATCTTAAAAACTGATGTTTCACTTCAAGGTTATCATATCTTATTTATAAAATTCTCGTGTCACGGTGTTAGAAGTTGAACTCCTCCGAAACGGCTCGACCGATTTTCGTGAAATTTTGTGTGCATGTCATACACCTAATTTTTTTTGAAATAATGTATACCTATGGCAAAACAACGTTTGCCGGGTCAGTTAGTATACATATAAAATTACTTGCTAGCTAACCGAATGATTCATCAACGAAGAACCTAAACCGCTACAATCTACAAATTTTGGCATCTGATGCTTTTTTTTAAGCACCCGCTAAAGCTAAGCTAAGCGATTTTTGAAAATGAAACCCCTAAGAGTGTTAAATACGATATGAACGGTTGCAAGGCAGTGTTGTAACATCACTATGTAATATTTGTTTAGTAGATTAATATGTCGCATCTCTATCATGGATTGCACTGTGTAGCATAAAAACATAACTGGAAGTTCGTCTTTTTTAATGTTAGAAACATGAAATAATCACTTGAAGCGATAGCTAGGTAGGTAGTTCCTACCATATTGATATAACATTAGGAAGTATTGAAAAAAATGTCACCTCTATGATATTTAGGAAAACTTGAAACAAACCCTATACCAACTGGTCTGGCCAGCGTGGTATAGTAGGCCAAAACCTCCTTTCTAAGGAGAGGCCTATGTCCAGCAGTGGACTAGTATAGGCTGTTGATGATGATTGATGATGATAATATTTTGACAACGGAATAAACAAATTCCATTTTTAAATACGAGTATATTTAAACTTGTAAGATGTGTTTTTTAAAGTTAGAACTACAACAGTCATGAGGCCTACTACCATACTACAGACAGCAGTGTTATTTGAAAAATTCATAGAAAATTATATTTTCTTATTTCTTTGTCAATAGGTGAGAAGCCCCACAAATGCCAGGTCTGCGGAAAAGCCTTCAGTCAGAGTTCAAACCTCATCACACATTCTCGCAAACACACTGGCTTCAAACCGTTCGCTTGTGAGCTCTGTGGCAGAGCGTTCCAAAGAAAGGTGGACTTGAGAAGACACAAGGAGACGCAGCACGCGGATATTAGAACCCCCCAACCGCATATGCAGCCTCACACTGATGTCCATGCTATGCATCCAGCTGACATGCATTCTGTGGCTGACCACAGGATAGGTAAATTTAACATTTGACATTTATTTTGAAAACGAAAGATTTTATACCATAAGACTTTATTTATAAGGTTCAGATTTAAAATTGCAAAGCTTTATATATGGAAAACCTTTTTCAACAGCCATATGCTTTTAGTATTGAATATTGATTAAGCCTATTGGAATAAATTAAGCATAGTCTTTTATTTAATTTTCTAACGCATATACTCTTGTTTTAGATCTCCGTCCACCTCACCCTGACCTTCGCCAGCATCCTGACTTCCGGGCGCATATGAGTGCCTCAGTTCCAACTCTGCAGCCGCTGCCATCCTGAACATCAACCGCCTTCGCGCCAACCGCTTGGCGCTGAGGCTTCATACCAAAGACGAGGGAGCGATGTAGTGGAAACCACACACTAAACTCAGTCAAACTGCAAAACAACAATTGCCTTTTAACAATATATAACAGCAGTTAGCGTAAATTCAACTTAATGAGCAAAGTAATAAAGCATACCTTCCTTTCTTATTTAGTAGCTTTACCGCGTGTTTTTACCACATCGCTTACTCGAAGCTAATATACTGTAATATTAGGAGATGTTACCAAACCTTTAGAGTATTAGGAAGATTTAGATTTGACTAAACGGTACACCGTCACTTTAAACTGAAATTTCAAAGAAAAAAGGTTAGTTAAGTTACAGTAAATATGTTTTACACACTATAAGGTTTCAGATAAACATTTATGTACAAATTATCTTTAAAGAGGTGAATGTGTAATTAACCTTCTTTAATTATGAGTTTCTGATCTCAAAATATGTCACAATAATTAAAAAGGTAACCAAAATTACTTTTATTTACTCATTTATAATAGTAAGCCATAACTACCAAAAGTTGCGTCACAGCAAATATATTTAAAAATGCAAATAAGCACATTTATTTTGTTAGCAGAAAAACAAAAGTTAATTAATCTTTTTAGCAAAATTTTACCTTAAATGGACTGATGGAATCATTCCAAAATTAATTTAGACTTTGTAAAAATTAATTGAAAACTTAAATATATGCCATTTCTTAAATTTAATCGTCATTCCCTGTTTATATTTTATAAAAGACAAAAAAATGTTCCACTGAATTACTAAACATTCCAATTTTAAAACTGGAATATTATAACTCAGTTCTTCCGACAGAAATAGATATAAAATATAATTATTCCAAAGTTTCATTCCTAGGAAGTTATAATACCAAACATTAAACTAAAGTGTTAAATAATATTAGTATGTAATGTAGTAAAATACTCGCATATCACATGAAACATTATAATTTTAATTAAATTATATGAATGAATTTGAATTATATAAAACATTTAGCTGATTAGAGTCATAAGTATCGGTATAAAAATGTACAAAAAAAACTTCGCTATTTTTGTGGCTGTAATCTTGTAAACATAAGTTCTTCAGAAATCTTATTTCTTCAATAATAAATGATCCTATAATTTTTCTTACTAAAATGTTTTAAAGTATATTATATTAACATGACTCGTTTAAATACTTAATTGTTGATTTATATTAAATATGTTAAATTATTGTAAATTAGATTTTAAGAACGCGTCCCCAGATTGAAATATAATCTTCTGTTTTTTTAATCTAAGCCACAAAATTACCTATATATCATAGCAAGGTCATAGAATCACAGCCAGTTCACTTCATGATGTGGTTAACCATTTCATGAAATATTCGTATTTCCAGAAATGAACGGTCATATTACAATATGGTCTGAACAGATCACGACCCACGAATAATTCATGATAAAACATCTAATGACAAAGAAAAATATAACGATTCGAATGTCATATAAAACTCTTAGGTACTTTTAGGGTTTGGAGGACCACTTACTACAACATGTATAATGTGATTGGTACTTATGTATGTCCTTACTTTATCCGCAAATAACAGGTAACTCAAAAGAGGTAATACAAACGATATTTATTTTAAATTTTTTTACTTAATTTGCTAGATAAAACTTTAATCAGTCTTGGGGCGCGTCCTTAAAATAAAATAAATATCGCCAGTCACACATAATTAATCAATCTTAATTCAATAAATATTATTTTTAATAGAAAAAACAAAACACTATGTATACGCAACATTTAGTAAATCAATCTTTATCCAAAAATATGTATGATCGCTTTTTCACTTAAAATATTAATTAAAATATGTAAATAATTTATTTACTTCAGTATAATTCATAATATATAATGCTACTTACATTAAATTGTTTCTCTTATTTACACATAAATTTCTTTTTTTTATTTTCATGAATTTTATTTCATATATTCATATCAATTTATAATTAATGTTTCAATTGTTAAAAATAATATGCATAAAAATATTTAAATTGTTAAAAAATAATATGCACTGAACAAAATTAAATGTTATTTTTCTCGTTTTAATTGGTAAATGTAAATAAATATTTTTAATGTATTTTATCTTTGTCGTGGCATAAAAAAAATGTATGTTGTTGTATGTAAACTCTTGTAAATATTGTATAAAACTTTAAAATAATTATGTTAACGTTCCCAAAGAAAAACGTGCAATCCTAAGGTCATTTACGAGTTATTATTATAAGTAATCACTTCAATAAATAAAATGTATAAATTTGGACTTTTATTGCATTTCATTAAAACATTAGATAGAAATTTATTAGAAGCATTCATCAAGCGGAAACAGATTTTTTTTCTACCTTCTTAAGAAAAAAGAATGAAATTAGCAGACGCCGAGCAAGTTCAGCGACCTCATTCAGAGAGTTGTCACACTTCACCTACAACGTACGAAAATCTTCCACGTGACAATTAGCCTTAGCCATAGGCACTTTTTTTTTTAATTGCAGGCACCCGCCATCGAGCCTTAGGCACTTAGCCTTTATTGAGTACACCTTTAATGCATACAGTTATTTAGTCTGCGTTTGTACAACAATATGGCACATGTCATCACCCCAATTCATCCCGTGGGTGTCGTAAGAGCGGACTAAGGGAGCAAACTAAGCAGGACAACAGCACTGCAAAGAGAAGGAAAACATGAAACAAACCCTATACCAACCCGTCTGGCCAGCGTGGTATAGTAGGCCAAAACCTCCTTTCTAAGGAGAGGCCTATGTCCAGCAGTGGACTAGTAGGTATAGGCTGTTGATGATGGCACATGTTGCCGTCAGTAGAGGGAGATCTTGATTTCCTGTAAGTAAAATACGTCAATGTCGACTATCTGGAGGGTGTAGCAGATGGGAAACCAAACCACCTGTGTGACTACCGCCTGTGGACACTTGCAACTTAAAAGTCACAAGTGTGTTGTCGCCATTTGAGTCCACCCTAACAGTCTGGGGGAAGGTTGGTCGGACATCATCACTTCACCGGTGGCATTCGAGGGGATTTTTAACCTCACTCATTCAGTGAAAAGCAACGAATAAGTTGCTTAACACGTTTTCTGTGAGGCCGTGGTATCACTCCGGTCGAGCCCGCTCATTTGTGATGAAGCAAGGCTCTTCCATAGAAAGGTTGTCGTTAGCAAGGTAGAACGATAGCGACAGTATGGCATTACATGCAAAAAGTCGAAATGCACGGATAGCGTAGTGGTTTAAAATGTGCCAGCGCCGCACTAATTCCCACATGGGACGACACTTTGTGTGATCCACAAATTGTTGTTCTAAGTCTGGGTGTTCTTTGTGTCTGTTTCATGTATGTTTGCGCGACACAGAATATTTCCTAATGCGGGAGTTGTCTTTATAAAAAGAAAAAAAAAGAAATTCTTTTCAATGATTTCAACGAAAAAAGTTGAAATAATTGCAAAATAATTCTCAGAATAAGCTGAAAATGGTCGTACATCAGTTGAATGCATCCTGAGTTGAGATAATGGAACAACATTAAAAAGTCAATGCGCCTGTTGAAAAAGTAAAAGTACATTATCGCATTCTGGGTATTCAGTACAAACACGATGAACTTATCCAGCTTAGAGTAAGAGTTTAAACCTCTCTAATGCTCACAGCCCAATACCTTGTATGCTTAACCATTAAAGGGTGACATAAGGAATTTATGCTAAGCGTACTGTATAGGTATCAACTATGGTAAAATTTGGGTTAAACCTCTAACACACCTAAGATGTACTTAATATTAACTGGTTTCTATTAGTAAAAAGTAAGAAAACAGTGTTACTTACAATTAAAAAGACACCACTTTATCTTTTACACTTGATTAGTTAATGTAAACTACGTTTTTGGGATATAAGGAACTCTATGTTCTTTACTATACGACGAGCTATCTGTTTAAAAATCTCACGTTGCTCTGTTGAGTGGTTAAGGCGTGAAACCCTAACAAATAAACTAACTCATTTACGCATAACATATTGACAGGCATGACATACATTCGCAAATATCAAAGAATAGTGAATAAAGGTCAACTTTCGACCTGTGTGCTATGCACATTATTTACCACCTGTTCCCTGCCACGCTTCTCTGTGTTACCTTTTGGTTGAAATTCATGAGAAACGAGAAACCAAACCAGATAAAAACAATCTTTGAAGCGAATTGTATATCGAATTGTAAATTTTGAACTCAATCAGTGTTGAAATTATGAGTTTTTCAAGCGTAGACAAACTAACTTAATTTTTTTATATAAATAAGATGGACATACATACTTGAGACCAATTTCTATTAGAAATGTATATACCTATTTACATAAGTAAGTTCAATATAAGGTAAGGAAAGTTTTACTACAATAGAGCTCATGGAAAATATATTTGATTTAAAAAATACTACACCGGATTATCACAGACAATTATGACAGTTCTATTAATCGGTTCCATGGTGTAATGGTTAGCACTCTGGACTTTGAATCCAGCGATCCGAGTTCAAATCTCGGTGGAACCTGAGTTTTTGGCTTTCTGTTAAAAAATTTCATCTTTACATTAACATGTGAAGAGATTTATTTGAAGGTATTTTTAGTAAATTTCACGCAATTACAATATGTAGTTTTGAATATTATGAGTTGGTGTGTAAAAGTAAAGATTTTTTAACAAATACGTATTTATGTTATAAGCGTGGAGTTTGTTGAACTGTTATGGTACAGAAACTCGATTTTATGACAGTTCAAGATACACTGGTTATAGATGTAACACAAAACAGTTAAAACCTCATGAATTGTGGTCAAAGATCGACTATATTAATCTCTAGTATAAAATAAAGTGTATTATTATTAGTACAAGGCAAGGCAAGTCAAAAATAAAAACTTTTACATACATTAATTGTAATATTTTGTTAAAGACAAACATAATTCATTCATTAATAATTCTAATGT